CGGAGACATAATGTGTATTTTTCCAGGCGGAAAGAGAGGGTTGTGTAGATGTTGTGGGAAGAGTGGAGTAACCTGCTGGATATAACTAATCAGATGAGAACATGACAGGCATGCGCGCCACCTCTGACCAGCAGCTATCAGAGAAAATAAGAGGTCAGATATCTCAGCAGTGTGTGTTTTTTTCTTTTTTTGCTGCAATAGCAGCTGCGAAGCTGAAGTAAAGGAGATGTCATTTCATCACTTTTGTGAGCCATAACACATCCCCACTTCCACTCTAACTCGTTCACCCTGTCACTCTCTCGCACACACGCATGCACACACTGCTGTTATTGTTGTTGCACTGCTCCCACGACACCAACAATCTCCGCTTCCCTCCCCCACACGGGCTCACATCTATCTCCCTTTCACTCCCTCTCTTCCCCCTCCTGTCCCGGGCAGCCCTGACATGCCTACTTCAATTGATTTAGAGTCAATTCAGCCTCTGATCTGATTGTTATCATATGACTTTTCGCACACCTCCCTCTCGATATATTATGACTACTGTATGATTTTCCGAGCATGGGGAAGAGGGTTTGTTTTTAGTTTTTGGACATGGGCAGCCATGCTCCTCTCTTCATTCCACTGGCTACAATCTCTATCCAATTCATTTTATGTTTCCAACTTCCTGTTCGTCTCGAACACGGCCTCCGCTAGAGTCTCCAATCTGCTTTTTTTCCACACCTCCACCGGCGGGTGGAGGGTTGACTCAATTGTCCAGCTTTGTAAACAGGAAGCCGGAGCTCTGTTCAGCGTACCTGAAGCGTGGGTGGCAGAACCAGGGTACCCATACAACTCCACAATAATGGGAATCCAAGATGGTTGGGAGGGGTCCCGTAAAAAAAATCAGCAGACGGAACCTCGGGAAAGGCGGGAGGGTCGTCGTCAAATGAGAGAAGACAGAAGCCCAAAAGCCAGTTGATTCGGTTCCCCCTTCAGTAAATAGATAGTTGATTTGCTTTTTTCTTTTGTCTGTCCGAATGGGATCCTGTTTAGAACCGGAGGATTAATGTCACAGACAATCCCTCAAACTCATTTTCTTTTGAACCCTGCAGCTTGGTGGGAATTACAGTTTGAGGACAGAGGAGAAGGACGCCGGTCCTGTGTGTGACCGGGGGAAAATCTCACTCCTTGTTTGAAATCGGAAAAATAAAATGCTTTTCCAACTTGTTCCAAAACAATCGATCTGATTCCCTTATGATGCCCAAACCCCAGTTTTAGTGTAACCTTGTGGATTATTTCCCCACTTTTAAAACCTCCTCCCCCTCTTGTTGTTTAACATGCTGGAATTCTGGGTGAATTTTGGTATTTTCCTGCCAGGCGAGCTGCATTAGGGGGGGAAGAAGCTTGACGGGAGTCAGTTTATCACAAGCACAGAGAGCCAAACAGATAGATTCCCCCCCTGTCTCCTCCCCTTCAGCACAGATAGACTCGGTGCACGGGCGCCCGGCCAACACTATCAATCTATCCGCTCCTACCCTCGGCCTCTAACTCTTATTGGAGGACGGCTTTCCAAAGGGGGCAAGAAAGCGTGAATCATAGCCCGGCTACGAGGAGCCGTTACGCCTCTAAATACACGCGTTGTGGCTGAAAAAATCACTCGCCGTTAATGACGTTCCGGCAAAGGGGGGGATCGCCCCGTTGCAAAGTTGCGCCTGCACAGGGGAGAGAGAGAGGGGATTGTTGGTCTTGGCCTAGTTTTTTTTTTTTTTTCTTCTTGTCTGATCAGAAACCTGTGCACCTCTGCCCTTCCCCCACCCAAACCTAAGCCTCTACTATTACAGGCTGAGAGAGGGGCTCTGCGCGGAGCGAGGTGAGCAGCTTGCCTCTCACCGCCGGGCTCCGTGCGCGCCGCCTATATGGTGCGTTTACGAGCTTATCCCCGCGCGTGATATAACCCGCCGATGTGGGCCAGCCTGCGTGACAGGCTCCCTGTGACGGCCGCACTCAAAGGTTGCATGTGTCATAATAATAACGCGCTGCCATGCAGGATTTCCCCCCTTTGTTTGCTATCCGCCAAGCATTGTTGATTTAAAAAAAAAGAAGAAAAAAAGATTCAAAGAGGATTAAGTCATTAGCTCGCAATATTACGGAACATTACAGGCACTCGTTTTCTTATGAGGAATTATGTCATTTGACATATATGTATACACGACTATGTGGAAATATATGGCCGTTTTGTTCCAATGTGCACAACACGTGCTAATTTTCCACATGCATCTGTCATTAATAACAGATATGAAGCTGGGAAAGGCTCAAAGAAAGCATCAAGGGCCCGTGTGACACCGTTCCTCCCCATTCAGCCTCTAACCACCCATTGTCCCGCTTATTTGTGTTTCTGTTTAGTCTTTCCTGCACAGCGATGCTTCCCGAATATCATGTGACAGATTAACTGTCGTTATCGTGGATGGTAAAATATAATTCGAGCGTAAAACGGAGCTTTCAGGAGGTCCCCTCTTTGCTTTTATGTCCACATTGACGGTAAAACGGATCAAATAGTGGACGGCAGAGCTGTAATCCTGACATTTTCCAGTCGGAACCAGTTGTTTTGTAACAGCTGAATATAAAAGTGGATTTATCAGAATTAGGAATGGCACTTAAAGTAAAAAGTGGAGACATCTCATCGTAAATGCCTGATATGGCACGAGAAAGGATCAGTTTTCAGAACATATTGTCTAATTGTCTAATTCTCAAGTGCCTGACCGACACTCTGGTTCTGTTTAGCCATGTGTCACCATTGAAAGCTCTCCGTCTTCACTAAGGTGAAGATGTTTTTTCTGCTCCTTTCTTCCACCCCCTCCCTCTCCGCAGACTGGCTGCCCTTGTGCATGCTCTCCATGTCAGACCCAGCTGTTACTACAAACTACTTGGAGAGCTTACAAGCCTCATTGCAAATACTGACAACAGCACTATTCTTACTCGGGGCCTAACGTCGATAGGAAAAAGTACGAATATGAGAGATTTTTCTCCGACTCCTCAAGATGTTCATTTCCCCAAACAGATGTTTCCGTCTGTTCGGATCTCGCGTTTTGGTTAATGCATTCCTAGATTCGGGGATTCCGCATAGGTGTTACTCGACAAATAACTTAAGATGACCATCTGTTGATGGCCGAGATTACTTTCTGATGCTGCTTTTTTTTTTCCCGTGCCCGAACGCCTGCGAAACGGCATACCTGTGCACGTATGTGGAACCAAATGTGAATGTGTGCATGGCATGTTTGTGAAGGTATTTATGGCCCATATGTGCGTTTGTTCCTAGCTGTAACCCCATTACATTCCTAAGACGGTCCACAAAACTAATTAATGTTCTGTGCCAAGGCTTTTCTTCCACCCAGGGGACGCTGAGTGGATTATTTACCTATATGTCCTATTGACAGCCAATCCCCCTTCTCGTGCTTTTAGGCTACAGGGTGGGTGTATAATAACACTATGAAGCCGTGTGTAATTTGCATTAGCCATGTCTTATATCGGTTTGAGCTCGCACCCAAAGCGTGGGCATCTTGCCCATACTACGACTCACATGACAGCCTACTCGAATTGCTTCAGCTTTTATAACAGATGATAGCTATGACTCCATGTTGAGAAAAAAAAAGAAGCATTTTCTTTATTTGGGGTGTTTTTGAAAAAAAAGAGTTCTTTGTGTTTTTCCATAATTCTACCCAGAAGCGATGTGTGTATGTTATGGTAAGTAGACAGGATACAAAGAAGGGTCATCTAAACTTCCCCCCTCTTTGACGAGGTTTGCCCTCGGGTTAAACACAACAGCTGTCTAACACCTACATACGCTTTTATTGTGTGTTTTCAGGTGAGTGCAATCATACCCGGGAGTGTTCTGGAGCTTGAATAATGACTGAGTAACATATGTAACAGGGTCAGCTAAACTTATTCCGTTTTAAGTTGCTTTTTCGTGTTCTTGGTGGCTGAGGCTGCTGCTCATTTTCTAACATCAATCTAATGGCCTCATGAAAGGAAATAAATATAGCTCATCAAAGGAGAAATTTAATATTACAGGCAAATTCATGCAGTGTGTCCTCACTGCTTGAACTGTTTTCCCTGAACTATTTCTCTTGCCCCCCTTCTCTGTGATCCTATACTCTGCCCTCCCTCCTCCCCAGTCTGCTATGGAGAAGGCAGTTACTAGGGGTGCGTTGGTCTTATGTTTGCCAGTTCATTCACAAAAGGGCTGAATCAATAGAGGCCAATGCAGAAACTGCAATAAAAACGTGTACTGCTAATAGTATTAGTGTTAAGTAGTGTTACTATCTGTTTATGCATTGATAATAATAATTAACTACATAATTAACTACATCTGCTGTCAATGCATTATAAAAATATTTTATGATTTTCATGCAAAATGTTTGAGATTTGGGATTTTTTAAAGGACACTTTATTACTATTTCAATGATAGCTATTATTTGTCTTAATTGTGGAGAGTATTCTTCTAAAGAGTTCTAAAAAAAGGTAGTGGAAGACAAAATGTTGACTTTTCACATAAACTATGCATAAATACACGCTGAACTATCAGATTAACTACCTAAATATAAAAACGAATGACCGAAAAACACCCACTTGATTGCATACGTCACAAATATTCATGAATTAAGCTGATTTTATATGCAGAGCTGCAAAAAAGCGATGCAATATCGATTATATCACCTATATATATTTATAATAAATTGTGTGAAGCTGCAAGTTAGGAATGCTGCTTTCTAAAAAATGGAAAAGAAGGCATACCAACCCAAATAATAAAATGATGTCAGCGGGCATGTTGGAGCCCCCCTCAGCCAGCCTCCCAGAGCACACAGGGAAAGTGAGCGTCATTAAAAAGGCGGGACTAGATTGGCCTTCCTGTCTTCCACTGGCGTGTTTAGCTGTCAATCAACATTTCCTGCGTTCCTATTGGCTGAGATCTTTCATTTTATCGTGCCATCTCGTCAAGCTGCTGCTGTGTAATCGTAGGTAACTTTCTTACGGTAGTCTTCCGCCGCGCGACCTAGTACTTCGTAGCAGCCGGGCATTTTGAGGACTATACGTGTATTTATCGTTACCAAATGTCGGAGGTAGATATTTCCATCGCGTCGAATACCGGAAGTCGTCGGAATAGCGTTTAGTTCTGGGGAAAAACAGCCTATCTCTCAAAGGCGTTTGAAATCGGACACCGCTGGCGTTGAGGCCCTCACTTTAGCGCGGAGGGATACGTTGTTGCGTCTGACAATGTGGACGGAGGTGGTGAAGATGTCTACGAGAAGAATGAAATCATCTCAGTTGTAACAACAAAAACGGAAGACGCGAGATTAGTAACTATAATAGATTTGTTTGCACACAGACTTGTTACATTGAAGCAAACACGTGGGCGCTGCGTGGAAATAGGGCTTCCCCGGACAAAAGGAAGAATCCACCGAGCTCCGATGCGTTTCATGCAGTGAGGTCGAAATTCTCTTGAAGTTTTATGTTTTTCCCCTTGCGAGTCTCCGCTTTTCTTCTTCTTACTGTGGGATATCAGACGCTCGGAGAGGAGAGGTAAAAACACACTCTTTTGCGCCTCACGTTTCGGGGGAAGTTGCTTGGACCCGGTGGGTTTTTCATTCACGCGCATTTCGACGCCCGCAATTGTCGAAAAGTTTTTCGGGAATGTGCGGTTAAAGCGGGGGATGTAAGTTTTTTTTTTTTTTTTTGTCTGGTTTGAGGTGGCGAGCCAAGTGTGTGTCGGTCCCCGCATCGGCCACGGAGAGGAGGAAATTACTCCTTTGTTCTGCAAAAAGCCTCCATTAACGTTAAATGTTAGAGCCGCCTCGCGAGCCTCGGTTTGTTTTTCGTCGCGTGCCTCGGAGCAAAGCGACCGGAGATATTAAAATCTTAACGTTGTGTAATGTTGGCCAGCCTTTTTTTAAGGCTCAACTTTTGTGGGGAAGACGGCAAAACCTGCGTGGATCTTTTCCACGCAAACGTGGAATAAAGTTTCCCGTAAAAAAACCCCATCGGCGGCCTCGAAAATGGGGACTTTGTGGAAGTGTCCGGACCCCCAGTTCGAGTTATTTTATAGCACATTTGGCAGGAAATTCCTCATGCTCCAACCCCCACCGGCCCCTCCGCACAACTCCTCCATAATGCACGACTTGAACCCTAATAATACGCGAGAGGGGCCGACTTCAGACTTTGGTGTGGAAGTTTTGGAGACTCCGGTCGCGTTCAGCGGGATTAGACTCAACTCCGGATTCTGCTTTTTGTTGGGCTTCAGGATGATGTCAACATAGTTAAAAATAAATAGAGAATGGGTCAGTTGTCAGCGATGGCTTGGCCCTGAAAGTGGTGAATAGCCTCTTATCACTTTGCCCTACATGGTTACTGACCCTGTTATTGAGCCGTTTTGTTTGGGCTTCATCGAGATATATAAATATATCTATATTTTTCCCTAAACGTGTTAAATTTTCCGCGCAGATTTGAAAGCAACAGTTGAAAATGGCTTTTCTTACCCCTCCTGCTTCCCAGTTTGAAGCAAGAGGACGACCCCCCCCCTGATTGTATACGGATTTTAAAACTTTTCCCCAGGTTTATTTAGATTATTAGAGCGAATATGTCTTATTATCCTATATCCCAGCCTTTGAGGCCCCATAGATGAGCTGTATCCGCTGACACCGGGCTCCAGTTTGCTCCCCTGAATGTGTATGAAACACTAGGATTTAGGTGTAAGGCATCTGTTACAGCAGCGGGTAGTTTTACTGGAAGTGGAGGCTCTTTTGTGGAGAATGACCTGTCTTCTCTGCCTTTTGTGGGGTGACAAAGGCCCCCCTAATCTGCTGCCTTCAAATATTGATCCAACAGTTGCTGAAGATGCCATTTTGTTACATAAAGCTCCTCTGTGTGCTCTGCTCCACTAAACTTGGGGGGATATTGTTTATAAAAAAATATTTATCTGGGTGGTATATATGGCCTGTGGTGTCCTTCATGGGTCGTCTTATCGTAAAGTTATGGATAGAAATGATAGTCATGTCTTACTCTATTTACAACTTGGACCATGTTTTGAATGCACTTCCTGATATCAAAGTTTAGCTTAGTTTCATTTACCCCACTTGGCTTAATTTGGACTGTAGTGTTTTTAAACGATGAGGATTTATTACTTTCTTTGCTTTTTAAGTAGTTTCACATTTGCTCTGTTGTTTCTCGAAAGGATCATCAACACTTTGACTTCCCTTTGTTTTGTTTTGATATCTGTATTCACTAAGAAAAATGCATCTTTTTCCCCCCTTTTTTGGGTTTGTTTTTGTTTGTTCCTTATCGCATCGGTCCACGCTAGTTGAGAATTACAAAAGAGGCTGTAAAAGCACACCACCTGTTGGTGTCCAAGTGCCTCTTTTCTTCCCTCGCTCCCCTGTGAGGAGCCGCCGCTCGGCCTTGGGCTCGCGCTGGAATGCAAAACACTGAGTAAATCCAGTATTCATGCTCGCTGTGTCTTCTGACAAGCTCCTTTCTGAGTTGACATATGGTAATTCGTTAATGACGTGTTTGCATACAGTCATTAGCTCTGCCTTTCACCCCCATTTCCTTGGGCTAACAATAGTCCCAATTATGTCTGTAATTGTACGAGTATTACGTTCTCTTTTATGTAGCGATGATCGACATATGGTTGTGTTAGTTGCCCGAGTTGCGTAAAATGAAAGACGATTTTTAAGTCATTACGTGGTTGTGATTTGACTAAAGGCAGAGTATTCATCAATTCGTGGCGTGTCTTCCTCTGCCTGGATAGAAAGGAGGTCTAAGAAGAGGAAAATAGGGTTTTCAAGTATACCGATGTGTATTCTTCTGAAGGTTTTTGTTATTCCCTCCCTCAGTTGCCCATAATTCAGCATTGTGGTCATTTGAGGTGTATTTTGCTGACAGGCCCGCTTTCAACCTCTCCAACACAAAACGTTTGCTTACGACGTTTCTGTACGTTTTCATGGTGGTTAGAGAAAAATCAGAGTTTACTTCAGGCAGACGGGCTTCACCCTGGCTTTGGCATCTCATGGAGGGCAAACTACCTTTTTCTTTTTCATGTGAATCTTCTCATAGGTTAAAAAAAAAAGAGCTGTGATGTAGCAGATGTAGTGCCAGTCATTAGTTTACCATCATCACATTTGATTTATTTCTTTTTTTTAAAGTAACATGTGACTTCTCGTGCTTGCTAGTACAATTAAAATCCTGTATTTGCAAATTTCTCTCGTAGGGTTTATTAGAGACTGAAGGGTATGAACGAACAGCAGCAAAGAATGGCTGCAGTGGGAACTGACAAGGAACTCAGCGACCTCCTGGATTTCAGTGCGGTAAGAGAGTGGGAGAGCAGTCTGGGTGGTTCGGGGGGCTGTGAGTGGGTGGCTCTGCCATACAGGTCTGCATGTGCAGCAGAAAGCTGGAGGTCTGAGCAGAACAAGTGGGCACGGGGCAAGCAAAGGGGGCTCAATCTGTCAATTTCAAAGGTGACATTTTGTGGTTTAAGCTCAAAATGTTTACATTCCCAGCAGTCGGGTGCAGCGAGTAAGTACCGCTATACCTCAGGGTGACAGATGAAAATGAATTCAGGCTTCCAACATGGGTTACTCAGTTATGCAGGCCCCGAGGAAGAGGATCGCAGCACAATCCACCAGCATCCGACGTAAAATGTAAATAGTGAATCAGGCACAACTGCAGGCAGTGAAAAGAAAAAGCTCACCTCTGTGTGTCTCGTTAACTGGATCTTAAAGGAAAACATTATGCTGTGTGAACTGGGCTGAGCAGACAGCCTCCACCTTTGTTTTTGTCATGTTTTTTAGTCTTCAGTCAGACATTTTCAGAGTCACTCTCAGGTTTTTTGTTTTTTTCCCCCCCTCTCGACACTATCTTCAAAGTGGAGCAGTTTTTGTTTACCTGTGTTACATTTTGTCGTAAAGGCTTTGGCAGCTTCCTGCCGACATCTTCCCAGCTGAGATGCTGATGTTGCCAGCTCTGGATTACCATTTGTGCTTAGCAGACAGTCTGTAATTGATAATTAATATTGGTCAGCATCTTTTTTAGGAAGTGTGAATACATGTATTATCAATTGGATACATCATTCCAGAAGTAATCGACATTTGTACACGTATTAGTCAGGTTTGTCAGGACAGACTCTGGGGTCAAAGTGCGCTGTATTTCCTAACACGATAATTCGTATTTCCTAACAAAATAATTTGGCAAACGTCTCTTGATGCAAAGGTTTTTGTGGGAGGCCATTATGAACGGCTGCCAGTTCACATCGTAAATGTTCAGTTTCGATAAGGCATCGATAATTAAGTCCAAAAACTCACCGAATTCTCCCCTCTAGACTAAACTATGGCGTCCAAACTGCACGTGTAGCTGGGTGGGGAGGAAAGTGTTGGAAGAGAAGCTGGTTTCTGATCGGTTGATTGGCAGAAGTGGAAGATTGTGTTAAAGTGTCCTAGTTAAAAAATGTCAGGTTTGTAACAGCGTGTGTTTAATACCAGAGAAGATGCCACATGGCGGTGACACCAAAGCCTTGTGGTGAAGCCCACAGAGGCTCGGTGACATTATTGTTGGTTCACATGTGCGGAGACTCTCAGCATGTTAGACGTCTGAACAGTTTAAGGGCAAAAAAATTTTTTGTATCGGCGCTCTAGCTGCAGAAAATATTTTTTACACTTTTATATTTCACTTTATACCTCAAGTTAATCCAGATTATATCAACTTTTTTATCTATTTGACAGTAATTATTTGCATTTTATGTTAGACTTTCTCTGTTGGAATGTCTTTAAGGAATTAACACAAACACAACTGAACGACTTTTGTGTCATGTTTGTTAAAAGTGGAAATGGGATGTGTGAAGTGTGCCGTCCTTTTGTCAGTGATGGTGCCCCTCTGCTTTTGTCTTGTAGATGTTCGCGCCTCCAGTAGCCAATGGGAAGAACAGGACAATGACACTGGCCAGCACTCATTTCGGTGGAACAGGTAAACGTTTTAAACTTAACCTCAACGCGTGAATGTTCGTTATGTCAAAGCCTTTGTGTGTCGTTTGTTTACCTGTGTAGCTGTTTGTGTGTCGGCACATGGAAGTTACACATATCATCGTTTTTAGAACATGGAGGCTCTCTAACATGGAGGTAGTTTCAGGTGGATCTGTTCTGGCTTTGGGATCTCTGTTGGAACAAGAGGTGTTAAAGGCTTTTCAGAATTTGATTTGTAAATACTTGAAAACCACTTTGATTAATCCAGACTAGTAAAGAAATTTCTTGTGTTTTGGTAACATTCTGAGCTGCTTCCGGAGGAATTTGCATTTATTTACATGCTACGGCTTCCATTGTGCCCAATTAACCATTTCTTTAGCCTTCGTTCCTCTGATTTTAAAGTGCAAAATAGCTGCAGTTAACACGCGGGAGCACCTGAAGCTCTTAGTGAGCGTTTCTCTCTTCCTGAAGGTTATTAGTAAGTCGTGTTACTTTGGTTCCTCTGTCACTCTTCCAACCTGGCGTGTGAAATCGAGTCACACTCCCAAGTGTTCCCCAGAGTGAGAACTTGGCCACAGAGGAACAAAGGCAAAGAAGGGGGCTTATGGACTTGAAATGACTCCCCCACCCTGAAGTGTAAAATACTCCTCCCCCAACACGGCACAGGGCTCTTACCCCCACTGATCTGCAGGAAATGGCTTGGGTCTGAGACAATGTCCCTCACCCCCAGCTCACAGCCTCTTAAACTGGCCCAGCATGCAGTGAGTGGCCAAAGTGGAGGAGAGAGCTTGTTGAATAGAAGGATCAGTCTGTGGAAGGCTGGATCCTGTTTGTTTCTATTACAGCAGGCAATTACTAAGCAGTGAGAAGTTAATTCCTCCCCCTCTTTGTGTCCTAAAGTGTGGCCCTCGGTCATTGACACCCATTATAATGTGATACTTAAAGCTGTCAACTTTAACTTTGGGAGAAGCTGCAGGTACTCCTTAATGGCACCAGAGGCTAAATGCTCACATGTGCAAATTCCAGTGCCTGGGCTGTTGTTTACTTTCTATTTTTTTTAGTACCACAAAATTCAATGTGAATAGATTACTGATTCATGTTACATGAGGAAGGAGATTACAACTTTTAGGACTCATTTTCTGTTTAAAATTAGTGCATATGTGCATTTTGGGGGGGTTTGTGTGCATTTAAATGCTACGTAAGAAAAGCAATTTTTTTCCCTCAAAGTAGTAAATTAGTTGAGGCTATTTTCTGGTGGTGGAAATGCCAATCGGAGAGCAGTGTCCGTGTTTGACGTCACCCGGGCAGCTTGTATATTGGGGAGCCCAGCAGCGCGGGAACGGCGGCGAGCGGCCCAGTGGCCCAGTGGCCCACCAGACCACCTCCATTCATCAGCACAAAAGTGCTCAGAGGGGTGCTAATTGCATTAGGCGTCCTTCTCCTTCCTCAGTGGCCAGAGTGCGCATGTGTGTGTGTGTGTGTGTGTGTGTGTGAGGAGGGGGGGACAAAGTGTGTCAAGTAGAATGAGGGGATAGGAAAGGAAAAGAGTTCTGCCAAGACGTGTGGGATGTCTGAGGAGTGGGAGGCAGAGTGTGACGGTGTGTGGTGGGAGTTGGCCAAACCCACCAGCCTCCAGGCAGGCGTCCCCTCCGTCACCTCTGCAGCTGCTGGCAGAGACTCCAACCCCCCTCACACACACACACACACACACTCACACACACACACAGACTCACACACACACTCTCACAGAGGAGCGCACGGGACACCACCGGCCGGCTTCTTTTCGATCACAACAAACGGCACAGAAATTACACATGTGGTTTCGTTTGATGGAAAACTAACTGAGCTTTTGCCCGCTCGCTTGTTTGTTTTTGTGTTTGTTTGTTTGTTTGTGTTGTTGTCGTGTTGTTCTCTGGGCATCGGTCGGTTTTCGTAAATAAAATAAAAAGACAACCCAAATCCCCAGAAAGAGGAAATCTGAAAGGCGAGTGGCTTGTTTCCTCGGCTAAATTAGATATTTTCAGACCCTGCAGCCGTGAGAAGGCTTTTGTGGCTCAGAAAATAAATATTTTTCTGGGCTCTGGATGCTAGTCAGTGTTTGTTTTGCCATGTGAGTACATTTGAGAAAGTCTGAAATGGAGAACCTGCTATGTTAACACAGTTCCATCACTTTATAAATGCATTTAGTAAAAATGTAATGACGTGTAGGAGTGCAACTATTACTTGATTATATTAGCTCGATGAGGCAATTTCAGGTCACAGTGCTTAAAAACATTGTAAACTAAGGGACATTAAACTTTTAATTAATCATGGTATCATTTTCACAAATGGCTCTGATGAATGTGGAAGCTGATTGGAATATATGAATAACATTTATGTGTTATTAAATCACTGTAAACCTCTTCTGGTTGTGTCGATAGCCAGAGGGAAAAAAACAGTTAAACAACCTAGTTTGTTGGCACTGATGTGCACAACATGACTTTTGAGTTCATTGCTCTTATTTACAGTAAGAGAGCTCAAGGTTTGACATCAGGAAAACCTGAACATTTAAAAAAAAAAAAGAGGCGTAAACTGAAAATGAAACTAAACCTAGATTGGGGAGAATTTTTCGGCCTCTTGTTTTTTTCCCCCCCCCAGAAATGTACAATCTTTGGTTTTCGTTATTAGTATTATGAGCTGGTTTTAAACATGTTTTTCTCTCTATTTTTACATCCAAAAGAACTGATGTAGCATATTGTGACCTACTTTGAAAAGAGTATTTTTTACAGGTAAACATTAACAGTTGCGTATTTTCATGTATATAGTTCTCATAGTGTTTTCCACTCGGCCTGGCTCAATACTGTAGTATATTTTTTTATAGTTACTGTCAATACTTTATCATAGGAGTCATATTTTTTGGCTGCTTCTTCTTTACCTGCTGCAAAGAGGAAAAATTCCCCCTTTGAGGGAAGGATAAAGAAAAATCGTATCTCCTAAAACTGAATAGAAATGTATTTGAGGGAGAGGAGTGTATGAATTACAAAGTGTTATTTGGCTGGCCTTTAGTGACAGTGATCGTATCTTTGATATGACATGTGACACCACATTAACAATGGGAAGATCTCGCTTAGTCGGGGCTCTCGCGGGCGTCGGCGTCACCTCCGCAGCTCGCCACCTTGCTTTAATTGCTTTTGAGTTAATTACTCCAGTAAGTGTGAAACAATGTTGTCAGACTTCCCCCTGCACAGCCATGCTCTCCCTCTATGCTCCGCACCCCTGTTGGCCAAATGGAGGCATCATTGGCAGATGAGTGATGCTTTGAAAATAGCTGTGAAAAAGAAGTTGCTTGTTTACCTGGTAAGCCGGCACAGTGCGGGTTATTGTCGACGGAGATAATGGGATTTCTTGTGCTGCTTAATGCTTTTAGTTCAATTAGGTGTGGCCTACCTGCACATTTGGATAAAGCTAGACAGTCCTAAGGTGGAAGAATGTGTGCTCCGGCTAATTTTAGGTTGCTGTATTAGTCTGGACCCGGATTTTTTGGGGGAAATGTCTCCATTCTAAGCTGTTATCTTTATTTACAGTGGGGTAAATAAGTATTTGACCCCTTGCTGAATTTGCAGGTTTGCCCACTTACAAAGAATGCAACGATCTATAACTTTAATCATATGTACATTCTAACAGGGAAAGACAGAATCCCAAAGAAAATTCCAGAAAATCACATCATATGAATTTATCAAAATTGATAACCATCTGATGAGGGAAAAATAAGCATTCTTTGTAAGTGGGCACACCTGCAAAATCAGCAAGGGGTCAGATACTTATTTCCCCCACTGTAGCTGTGATTTGCCGGCGTCCCGTGCACCGTTCTGTTAGTGCTGCGGCTGATCTGAAAAGTGGGCAACGCTGATCTTTTGAGGTCCCCTCTCCTCCCCTCCGTGCACGATTCTCCATGCCACTGGCATCGGCTCCATAGATCACGGCTGTCGCAGCGTGTGTAGGTGCTTGCACCGCTCTGTTAGTCTCATCGCTCATTCTCACTCGTCAGCCAGGCTGCTGATCTCACCCAGACCTCTCTATCTTTCTCTCTCTCTCTCTCTCTCCATCCCCCCTTCCCCCCCCTCTCTCTGTCGTCTCCTTGCTTTCTCCTTCCACTTGCTCACTCGTTTGCTTTCTCACACACATTTTTTTAATTAGGCAAAATCAAAGGCGAAATATGAATATTCATAAGGAAACTGCATTAATATGCACAATTATGCAAATCAGCATGCAATTAAGCCTTGTGTCTCCAGAGAGCCTGGATAGCATTAGTGCATTAGACAGGGAGAAGGGGATGATGGGGGTATTTTGGAGTTTTCTGCTCCACTAGTCTTTGGCTGTGTTTTCTTTGTGCCACACAGCAGCTCTTTCTCCTCCTAAAGCATAGAGGTTCATTTTTTGGCTTTATTCGTTTTGTTTTAGTTGTATTCACCGAGTCTAATTTAGTTTCAGACGACGTCTTTAGCCTCACAGACTGCATTAGGAAATAAATTGTTAATTTTCTGCAATTCAGAACCTGTAATGAAGCCTAATGGGAACATTGCACAGCATTTCATACATGTTTTCTCCATTAATGGTTCAACATTGCAATGCGCCTTGAAGAGAAGCATCTTTGATCAATAGTTTCTCTCTCTGTTGGCCCTTTGCTGCCAGTGTAGGTTGTCAGCTTTTACCCCGACTGCTTCCCCTGATTTCTGCATAAATGACAGTCGGAGGTGTTATTAGAGATCTCTGCTCTTCTGTCATTGTGTTTTGGTTATTCCTGCTTCCTCAGACTAACGTGTTGTTCTTTTCCTTTTTACAGCAATAGATGAACGCAGCAGCTCTGGTTCTTGGGGCTCCACAGATCAGAACAGCCCTTCGTTCAGCCAAGGACGGGTGAGATCTAAATGCACACGCCTGCTCTTTAGTTGCACTTGATTTCAAGTCTGCAGATCTAAGGAGTGACACCAGATGCCAAGTTATTGTCATTCACACTCACATATTCCGCTCGTCTTGCTGCCAGAGCTGAAAACGCATATCCTCTCCCCCCCCAAACGCCACAGCAGCTTAGTGGTTTTTCCTGCCGTGAGCCTTATTTGATTTGAAAAGCTAGTTTTTACTTTCTACCTAATAACCTTGGCCCAGGATCCTGCACTGGCAAGCTCCCTCCTAGCTAAGAACCTCTGTTGAAGCCCAGCTGTAATTGCAGATTCACATCTACCATAAATGTCTTGGCACAGCCCAGAGTAAATACAAGGAACAGGGGGTGAAATAGATGCAGAAAGCTTTGATTACCACAAGTTGATAATTAAGAAAGTCGTTTTGAATTCCCGAGCCGATGCAGATTTGTTTGGCATGGATTCTGTCAGACGGAAAAGCAGAGAGGCTAACCACAAAGCCATATATGAGAACTGACAAGATGGGGATGGTTTATGTAGCATTTTAGTGTGTTTACCTAATGTGAGGCTGTCCATGCTGTTTCTTACACGAGTCTGGTCTTTTTAGAGGTCGCTCATGTTTTGTTTGCACCATTTCTTCCTTCAGGGTTATGGAGAAGGAGCCCACTTCAATGAGCATGAGGGCCTGTCTTCTCCCTTCATCAGTTCAGGGATTACTGGTACGTCCTTTAACCGGCTTTTCTTAAGATAATTCTAATGTGTTAATAGTTATTTCCATTAACCGTTCAGGTGGAATGAGTGTTAACTGCTTTATACATCTGAACCCTATAATGTTTATCATATTGGATACATACAGTTTCTGTAGTCTTTTACATTAGAGACCTTTTGTATCACTTTGCTCAAAACTGTTTTACACAATATGATACCAGCAGACAGAAGACTACACTTATGGCACGATAATAAATGCTAGGTATACAAAAGCGATTAAAAAAACAGACAAAATAAACATTTTAAATGGCCTAATGAAAATGAAAAATTCTGTATTTTTTTCCTTTTATCAGGCTTTTAAGGGTTCAATGTAAAAACCTACATGTTGTGTCCTTTTTCTGTTCTTTGTAAATAAAGTTTGATTGGGCTGTTTCCACTTTGTTATGACTAAAGATTGTTCTGGATGGCAAAACGTGTTTGTAGGCCTACAAGCATAAGTGTGTGTGTGTGTGTGTGTGTGTGTGTGTGTGCGCTCATTCGTTGAGTGTTGGGGATGTTAGGGCACTGGAGCAGAAACCCTCCCTCGGGTTTAGTCCAGCGGGCGGCTTTATGCAGCTGGGCGTACTGAGAAAGGGGAGGGCCTCTCTGGGCCTTTTTCATATGTTTTTACACACTTTGTTCCATCTTAATACGAGTATTTAACCAATGTTTGTTGCATTGTCGCCCTCCAGGTAAAAACGAGAGGCCGCCGTATCCTCCCTTTGGAAGCCAGGTATGTTTCCATGATTAAAAACTCAAATCAAGCTAGGTGCTGCTGTAAAGGAAGCCATCTTCTCAGTTCTCCTTTCAGACACTTTGAATGTTTGTTTCTTAGAAAATAAGTCTGTTTCTGCATGCTTCGCCACGCCCCTGCGTGTTTAATTAGTAAAACATTGTGTTTGTGTCTAGCCTGGTTTTCTTCCAAGTGACATAGCGATGCCCAGCCCAGATGCCATGTCTCCCTCTGCGCTGAAGTCTGGCTCCCAGTTTTATCCTTCATACCCCAACAACCCCCGGAGACGGCCGCCCGACGGAAGCTTAGGTAAAAGACGCACCACGTAACCTGTCACTCATTTGCTTTATCAGTTCGGTTCTTTTTTGCTTTTTGATGCAAACAAAAATCCTGACAATTACAAAGCTGATTGAGCTGATTTATTCAAACTGTTCACATTGTTTTGCAACAACTGGATGACTTGACATGCTCAGTCGATTAATCTTCTGGGTCCCTTTTACGAGCATGCCGCTCTGCGTATGAAATTGGAACAAGAACGCAGTTAAACTGAGGCTGAACTCGCCTAACATTTGCAAAAAGTGTTGATTTATTCCTTTATTTATTTGCCTTTTATGTCACATTTTCTGTCTCTATCTCCTGCAGCAGACGCCCAGCCAAAGAAGATTCGGAAACCCCCTGGCCTGCCGTCCTCGGTGAGAGCTTATTTCTGCTCATCTTCACAGCTCACAGCCTGCCGCCTCTCTGCTTCTGTGCCTCTCTTTCTGTGCCGCTTTCCCCAGTCTGCTCCAGCAGCTCTGTGACAGACAGGGGTAAAGACCCTCTGCTCAGTCAGACTCTCTGGGAGCTGACAGTTGGGCGACTCAGGCCCCAGTAAGCATCATCACTGTGTTTGTCGCTACAGTCAAGTGGTCTCAAGTGATGTTTGGGGTTGACAGTCATGTAGACGAGCAATTTGGTGGGACTTTGGGATACTTTGCCAAGCCAGGAAATTTGTATTTTAAGCGACTGAATTTGGATTAAACATTAGGAACATGGAGAATGAGGGTGTGTTACACACCAGAAGGTATGAATGGGAACTTTCCCTTTTAACCTCACAAATCTTTCATGGAATTTTTACTTTTAAGTATATCATGATCGTTTCAAAGCTAAATATTAACCCCTGCGGAGCTCATTAGATCCCCAAACACTGGTTTCTCTGGGGGAGTGTCTCGTAGTGCTATCGTTTACGGCCCCACATGCGTCTAAAAGTAAGCCGGGCCAGAGTTCCAGGCAGCTGACGTGAACATGACGGCAGCCACACATAGCAGGAAATGCCAGTCATCATAGAGACATGCGGGGTCCATTCAGCTGGACACTGTCTGGGCCCTGTTTGCATTCACTCTGCAGCTCTGTGGATAAGACACCACATCTCTGAGTGGCTGCACAGATGTCTATAAACTGCCTTTTTGTTCAGTATAGTTAGAGAGTTAGTATTTTATTGGAGCAGAGTAGCAGTCTGGGAAATTTTAAGTGCATATCGTCTCAATACCTTTATTTTTAATAGACATAAAATGATGGTAACGGATTGATATTGGAATATGAGTGGTGTTATAGGGTAAGCACTCTACACTGAGAAGCTCTATTGGTCTGACTAAAATGTTGTTTTTATTGTTTTTACATTGGTTTTCTCACATTAAGGTCACAACTCCCAAATGTATAGGAAATTAATATGTTAAAGACACCACAAAAATCCAATTAATGAATCACTGTCATAATATAGTATTAAATCTTGATCATCACCATCTACTCTGTTCCAGAAAATATCACAGACACACTCAGTTTGGACACTAACTAACTATTTCAACACAATACCAGCATCTTTCAGTATTATAATTTTAGGACAGCTAAAGCTAGGAGCCAAGTTTCTGCTTTATTTGTAAGATGACATATTTAAGTCTGAGGGACTCTAGTGACGAGTTGCCTGTTTTATTGTCGCTATTTAAGTGCAGTCTTGATGCTTTAGCTGCCACTGGATCATCACCTTGAGATATTGCCATTGCTGGAACATTTTGTGTGACCCTGTAACCGTGCTGCTGTTCTCAGATAACACAAGTAACCCCAAAGATCAACTGCCTCCGAGGCCTTTACATCTTCACACTTGTGGCTTCCTCATTTGATGCCGCACAGAAGTTACTCGAGCTCAGGAAACCAAAATGAAAACGAGTTATTTAGCATTTCCAGCTGGTTTTGCCCGGTGATTAAATCAAGCCCAAACAAGTTTAAACAAGTCTTGAAGACAAAATCGACCCCATGCTGATGATTGTAAATTGCAGGGCTTTCTATGGATGAATAGGTCCGCATTAGAGCTATGGATATGAGTCCTGCGCTCTTGGCTGGAGACTGCATTGATTGGCTGTGTGTTTGTCGAACTGGCCTCATGTTTGGGACGTGCTTAAGTCAGAGCAGAGCTCCCTGAGCTGTGAGCTCTGAGCAGGCTGCCGTCCTCCACCTGTGCGTGTTGTCATGTTGAAGTGGCTGCTGAAACCTGCGTGTAGACACTCGATCTGAGACATCAAAGATGGAGTATGAACACACACTCTGTGGCCGGGGCCCTGTCTTTCTCACTGTCTGAACCTCGGTCCTTCCCCGCCGCGTGTGTGTGTGTGTGTATATGTGTGTGTGTGTGAACCCCCCCTCCCCCACCTCCCCCAGCCCTCCGCCTACACTTCACCACATGATGGCCTGGGTGGGCGTCCCCCTGTGAGTGACCCAGTTGTGAGGCGCAGGGCTTGTGAGGCCTCTTAGCCCCGTGTCTGAGCCCAGATTAATGACTGCTGATGATGATCCTATGGTCTCTCCTCCCTCCCACTCTCCTTCCGGACAGCTTTTCTTTTCCATATTAATTTTGCGTTATCTACTTTAGTAACTTAAATCATGCTGCTCTCGGTTAGGAGATGCCTAACCTAACAACTCCCAAATGTGTAAAGAATTAATTTGTCAAAGACACCACAAAAAGACTTGAATAAAAATCCAATTAATTAATCACTGTCATGATATAGTATTAAATCTTGATCATCATCATCCAATCCAATCCACCTTTATTTATATAGCACGATTTAAACAAACACAGGGTTTTCCAAAGTGCTGCACAAAAACATATCCAGAATAATTAAATAACACAGTAGAAATTCAGCTGAAAGTAAAAAAATATGCATAAAATCAACACTCTCCATGGTGTCAAAAGCCAAAGAAGAGGTGGGTCTTAAGAAGAGTTTTAAAATGAGAGAGAGAGGTGGTTCATCTACTGTTACAGAAAATATCACAGATACGCTCAGTTTGTAGTGTCCAAACAGGTGGAGTTAATATTTCTATGAGCTTAGTTTCCTGTTTCTGATTCGTGGCCCGGCCGGTACCTGTGCACAACGAGGATGCCTCGACTTCAAACCTTCATCATCACTTCTGTGCATCTCATAAAAAATTAAAACGTGCCCCAAATGCCCCGTGGACTACCCACAAACCAATGTGGTTGAACGGAGGCGTGTGAGGTTAGCGTGATCTTAATCTTCATCTTGTCCCCACCACTCGCCACATCGTGTTTTTTCCACTTCGGGGGTCTTTACACGCTCATAACCTGTGTTACACCGAACTTCTATGAGTTGAGGATTTACTATAGAAATCCCATTCTTCTGGAGAATACAATTATCCGGCAGCAGTAGTCATTGTGCGGTTCTGTGTTTCCATCCTGAGCAGCACGACATTGTTCCCTGTGAAAGAACAACTCAAAGCCTATTGTTAAATGAAGCCATCTCCATCATGTTTTCCCCTGAATTAACCGTGATCATTTTAAATCCCCTGTTTCCTTCACACTCCCCTGGTCGTATCAAGCTTTGTTTAAGTCATTTAGATTACCTTCTCCTGTCCCCTGTAACACCCCTTATCTCCCTACCCATTTTATATATCATCAAGGCCTTCATTTCCACCCCCCAATCCTCCCCCTTTGCCCCTTTACCTCCCCCTACCCACTGCAGTCTCCCTCTCTGCCTCTCTTTCCGTCTCTCTTGCTGACTAGATCCCAGCCCCCATCCCTCTCTCTGTCTCCCTCTCCTCGTTCCCTCTCCTCAGCCCAGCTGCCTGTGGAGTTGGATGCGGTCCAGGAACAGGCAGATGGCTCTGTAATTAGAAGTGCATCTCTCCATTCCCTTTCCACTTCTCCCTGTTAAATCAAATTACAGAAAAAATCCCTTTTCTGGATTAGCATTCTTTGCAGCATAGCCTTCATTCTCTCTCCTCCTATATCTGCCGTGTAGTACAGAGGAAAGGAGGAAAAGGTGGAGTGTGCTGGTGTCTGGAAAACGGAGGGCTTCTCATGTTCATCTCCAGGCTCTGTATTTTCAGTCGCAGCATCCAATTGTGCCACCAGTGTTTTGAAAGTATGAAGTCTGAACTCCAGTTTCTCGCGTAGAACGTGATCACAGCTGTCTGTTGTCGTGCTTTCAATCCTCTGTAAATGCCTTATGTTGGTGGCAGTTTATGGACATTGCTATTTGATTGTGTGTGGAAGGGTGTGTTGGCTCCCTGAATGCCTGGTATGTGTGTGAGCTGATACCGAACATGTTAAAGGGAGGGGCCGCAAGCCAGGCAGCGCGTTGTCACTGGGGTCTTGGGAGCGAGAGGAAGTGCTCACTGTGCTCTGGGATTCAAGCCGTCGCTGTGCCCAGCATGCCACGGCCACTGTGTTCTGCTCTCCAGGCAAGGAGCCGGCCTTCCTCCCACACCACCACAAGTCTCCCTCTTGCCATCTTGTGGCTGCTTACGGCTAGTGTAAATAGATGGATTTTCCAAAGCTATGCTCAATTGAGTTGGTACAATAGAAAAAAAAGGCAGCTTTCTCCTCTCATTTTATACGTTTATATAGAAATTTAAGTGATCAAAGTCCCCCCTTTTGTTTCACCTTAACATAGTGTTTGATGGATTCTGTGAATTCTGGGTTGAATCTGTGTCTGGTTTGTTTGGAGGCTCGCTGGAGTTCATTGACTCCTTTCTTTCCTTTTGCTTTAGTCACTGGTCCTGGAGGAGTCATTTAGATGTTGTAAAGTGCTTTTTTCTGCTGACTGAAGCCCCTCCTGTACAGCTCCACATCAAGGAGCAAAAGAAAAAAAAAACTGATAAAGGGTGTCAATACAGTTGAATACTAAAAAAACAAAACACTTCACTGTATGTCCGGTACATCTGTTGCTCGTCTGTATGACTTCTTTCTTATGAGCAAATAACTATTAACCCTATAATGTCAAATGTATCATATTTGATACATACGGTTTCTGAAATGTTTTGCGTCTGACACCTTTTGCATAATTTAATGATAAAAACTTTGCTCAAAATCCTATTGTACACAATCAAATACGCTTGATAACAGGGGGCAGAAGACTACACAAAAAATAATCTTGACCTATCGCATAGTAATAAATTATTAATATTAAAAATTTATTTTTGTTTTTTCTTTTTACATATTTTGTTAAAAGGCCAAATAAAGACTTCAAACGAAAAAAAAGTACTTTTCTGTTTTGTTTTATTCTTGGATCAGGCTTTAAAGGGTTAAGGAGACTGAAGGAAGGTCAGAGTGGATGTGAATGCACACGGATTGGGTGTTAAGACGTCACTAATGTGGGATTACAATGACCAGTACTGCTCACCTTTTTTCTTTTTTTTTTTTCGGCGTCTGTGTGAAGCCAGTCGATAAGGCGTTGGTCTAACTGATGTTTCCCGTGTGTTGGTTCAGGTGTACGCCACCACATCTGGTGAGGAGTTTGCCCGGGACAATGCAGGATATCCTGGTGGAAAAGCGGGTGCCGTCTACCCGGGATCTTTCTACATGCAAGGTAACCTCTCACTGAATCCTACCAGAATACGTTTGTCTGGTTCTTCTATTTTTTGTCTGATAAATTTAAATCCTTTCCGGCTTTTCTTAGAAGACCCCTGGTCCTCTTCTGGCTACTCTGCCATGCTTGGCAACTCTCCTCACATTGGACAGCCAGGCTCCTTCCCTCCGATCAACCCACAGGACAGAATGGTGGGTAGAAATGGCCCGAATCCGATCCTCACTTTGAGTCCTCTCACAGACAGATTTTTTACTTCATGAAGCTGCTTGTATTCCTTTTCCAGAAGCATCACACCCTTCCTCTGTCCCCACAGAACTATCCTCTGCACGGCAGCGAGGTAAACGGCTTCCACTCAGCCGCCACCACCTACAACCACACGCCCGCCATCAATGGAGAAAGCATCATGGGTAAGGAGACCCCTCTCCTGGCTGAGGGTATCGCAAAAGTATTTGCAGGCATCTGTCACTGATTCAGCAGCTGTGATCACTTTGGTTTATTTTATTTTCTGATGGTTGTCGGCTCCTCTGACTGGCTTTGTGTATATTTTGTCTCTGCAGCCAACAGAGGCACCACAGCAAGCAGTTCAGGGGACGAGATTGGCAAAGCTCTGGCTTCAGTGAGTTCTCCTATTTATTATTATTTTTTATTTAGATTGATGTTTTATTTGATGCCAAGCTGTAAAATGGCTAAAAATGCGTTTTTTTTTGTTTGTTTTTTTAAAGAATGTTTATTCATCTTCAATTTCACAGCAAGTAGACAAATATCAAATAGGTAATGGCTTAAACCAACCAACAAACAAACAAACAAAAGAAAGAAAAACACACACACAGCGGCTCAGCTACACATATAGAGTTCCACATATATAATGCATACAAAATAGAAAAGTACAACAGCATGCCTTCCTTTATGACCTTTCAGGAAATGGCTGATACCTTCAGGTCAAGGTAGTTCAAATAAGGTTCCCATACTTTATAAAACTGTTTTGATTTGGAGTGTATCATACATGTTAAATATTCCAAGGGTATCAACAAAAAAAAAGCGTTTTTTATACTTTAGTCTTGACGGTATAAATCACAGATGGCAGGTTCTTTTAAAGAAGAGAACCAAGCTGAAGGTGGCCGTTTCTTCTTAGCTATTTGTTGGGGACAGTGTGACGTTCTGCCCGGTTTAAGGCTTCTTCTTTGCTTTCAGATTTACCCATCGGACCACAACAGTAATAACTTCTCCTCGGCTCCCTCCACACCTGGATCTCCTCAGGCCATTGCAGGTACACTTGGCTTCTCATTTCGGCACCAAACCAGTGCAGGGCTGTTTGGGTGAATCGATCCTCAGCCCTCGGCTAAAAATGTGTCTGCAGCTCCATCTGCTGTTTCTGAGTAATCTAAGAACTATCTGCTGTCCCCTTTGAATCCTCTCTGCAGGAGCTCCGTCTCAGTGGCAAAGACCCACCACACCCAACTATGAGGGGCAGCCACATGCACTGGTATGTTTAAAGCATTTCACAGCAGATTTCACTAAAACCTGAAGTTACCCTCATTCTGTCATTCTCGTGTATTTCCTCTGGCTTCCGGAAATGCGTGTGCTAGGGTTGTCAAAAGTATCGATACTCAAATAAGTATTGATACTAAAATACTCAAAAAAGTATTGATACTAAAATGTTGTATTCGGATACGATACTCATTTTCAAGAGTATCGATTTATTTATGTATTTATTTACGTTGTTTATGATCATTTACAAGACGTTAGCCTTGAACTGCTAGCTGCGGCTAATGGCTAATAATAACATGCTACCATTAGTCAAGTACATATCCAACTCCGCCCACATCCAAGTCGGCCATTTGGATTACATCACCAATAGGAAGAAAAGAAAATCCTAATTGCTTCATGGCAATATAGACATTCATTTAAAAATAGTGAAATTAAACTTTAAAACACTTAATTAAACTCTATCCATAATATGTTAAATAGGTTTGGACAATAAGTCTAAACAAGTTTAACCAGAAAATATTTATTTCTCACAATTATGAAGGGTGGAGGGTCAGGATTAGGGTTAGGGTTAACGTGGGCCACCATAACATCAGTAACAGGTCAGTTTGAAATGAAAGGCACTAACCTGCCAAAATTCAGTTAAATTTTGGGGTCTTTGTTTTTATCCTTGTGGTATCGAAAATGGTATTGAGTATTTTCCTGAGTATCTGTATCGAGTTGAAAATTTTAGTATCGTGACAACCCTAGCATGTGCTGTCTGGGGCTCCCTGGCTTGGTTGGACATTATTATTGGTGTTCAGCTCATCTTTTTTGTCTTTGTGTAGCAGAGTAAAATGGAAGACCACTTGGAAGAGGCCATCCACGTGCTGCGTAACCATGCTGTGGGCCAGAGCCCGGCTCTGGAGGGGGCTCACGCCGAGATGCACAACCTGCTGTCCTCGGTGCACAACGGGGGCTTGGGAGGCCTCTCTCCAGCCTTCCCCAGCGCCAGCCTCGCCCTCAGCAACCGGCATCCTGCTATGGTGAGTCACCAGCGTTTTTAATTCATGAATTTGGGCTTAAGGTTGTGTAACACAAAACCTTTGGCAGTTATGTCTTAATTTCATCTTGGTGAGTAAATATTTGACACTTGAGACATTTCTAATTTAAAATGATTATTTTTTCTTTAATCTACAATTTGTATTACAAGAGAGTATTTGTCCACATTTGTATATATGTTGATCAGCTAATTCCCTCTCTAATGATTTAGGTTGAGTTTTTTTTTTTTAATCTATAATTTGCATTACGAGAGAGTATTTGTCCACATTTTTATATAAGTTTCTCAGCTAATTCCCTCTCTAATGATTAAGGTTGAATTGATTTGAACTCTTTTGAACAGAATTTAGATGATTCTAGTTGATATTTAAGCCTAAAAAGAGAAGAATGGGAATAAAATGTTCATAAATGTCAGTGGGACTTTTGAGGATGTCACTGGAGGTGGAAAGGAACAAACTGTACATGGTTCCATCAGCGCCATCTGCTGGTAGAACAAATATATAGAAGGGAATTAAATTAGATTAAATTAAACCAACTCCACAAATGTATTAAAGCAACCCCCCCATGTGATCTCCATTTTTAGACCTACTTTGGAGCCTGCAGGGTTGATGAAAACATTTTGTGTGTTGTGAGCTTTTGCCGTGTGTCCTTTAGTCGGGTTGTGTCTCTGTCCATGTGGGATTCATGACACGGTCCTCCATCTTTATCAGCAGGGAAGTAAACATGAGGAGCCCACAGGCCTTCCTCCGAGCAGCACTCTGCTGCACGGCCATCACGCATCTGGATCCACACCGGCAGTCGGCCAGCCCGAAGGCTTCACAAGTACGTTTGTTTTTTTGCTTCACAGAAGCTTTGAATGAGTTCTGCTTTTTAGGCTTAAACAGAAACTCCTGTTTTTATTACAGTTGAGCGCTATATTTACACTGATCTGTTCTCATCTCTGCCGTCCATGTTGTTCATCTGTCTTTGTCAAATAAGTTCTTTTATCTCCGGCGTTGAAACGTTTGTGTGTTTGTCTGCAGGTCTCCCTGGTGGATTGGCCCGCTCCACACACTCCTCCAGCAGCTCAGACATCAAACGAGAAGACAAAGAGGATGATGAAAACTCATCTGTCGCAGACAAGTCGGAGGATGACAAGAAGGACTCCAAGGCAGCACGCAATCGAACAAGGTACCGCTCTCACTGGGTTTTCCACTTGTCTTTGCTTCAGTCAGAAACTTAAACAGATTGTCCTGCACTGTAATGAAGACACTTTGATGTTTTTGATGATAAAAGAAGTTATTTATTTCAGCAAATATTCATTTCAATGCTCCAAATTGTATCCGTTGGTCACTTTTAAAAGACAGCTTTTGATTCTTGTTTGGGCTCTGTTAGGTGTTTTTAACTATTTCAAAATCCCCCTCCCTTCATGTCACGTTTTCAGAAAGGAGGCGTTGACCCTCCAGATGTTCTCTGGCCTATCAGACCAGAAAGATGAGTAAGTTTCTCCAATAGCGAATCCCTTTCTAGTGCTTTGGTCTCGCTCAAAGCACGTGAATTTCACCTTCGATTGGCAGATTGTTTGATATATTCCGCACACTTTGCCTTTGAATTTCTATATATGACTTTTAAAAAACGTGACTCCATCTTTGGGGGGAAAATATAGTGTTTAATAAACAATTTGTGGACCTTAAAGCGAAAGCTGGATCACCTCAGATGTGCACACACAGCTCCAGAGTGGCAGCTTCATATAGATGTCTGATGGGGGAGTGCTGCTACCTGGATGGAATCATTATTTCCATTAAACACTCTTATCTTCATACACTTTATGTGCATTCATTTAGTAGGATGTTTGTTTTTACACTAACAGGTTTGCATGAGTCCTTCAGTTTGCGATCTCTTGTTTCCAATGTTCTCCCTCCTGAAGGTCTCAACTCTCTTGGTCTGTTGGTAGTCAGGACAACGAGGATGACGAGGACCTTCCCCCCGAGGTGAAGATGGAGCGCGAAAGGGAACGGCGAGTGGCCAACAACGCCCGGGAGCGCCTCAGAGTGCGGGACATCAACGAGGCCTTCAAAGAGCTGGGGAGGATGTGCCAGTTACACCTAAGCCACGACAAACCACAGACCAAACTCCTCATCCTGCACCAGGCCGTCAACGTCATCCTCAACTTAGAACAACAAGTCAGAGGTGGGTCCCCCAAAGGTCTAAGATGGGGGGTGGGCTGGGACAGAATGGGGAAAAGTAACACATCTTTACAGGGGGACATTTCATGTCAAAATTCTTCTAACTGATATGAAGTGGATACATTTTAGAAATAGATCCTGTGCATCTTTTGTGTTGGTTTTTCTAAAATGCAAGCCTGTGACTAGAAGCTAGGGTTGTCAAAAGTATCGATACTCGAAAAAGTATCGATACTAAAATGTTGTATCCAGATACGATACTCATTTTCAAAAGTATTGATACCACTGCGCTGACCATTCCGTCGCTGTGCCCCTTCTCTCTGATTTATTCATGTATTTATTTACGTTGTTTATGATTAACAAGACCTTAGCCTTGCTAGCTGCGGCTAATGGCTAATAATAACATGCTACCCTTAATCAAGTACACATCCAACTCCGCCCACATCCAAGTCCGCCATTTTGATTAGGTCACCAATAGGAAGATCCCAGGCAAGAAAATCCTAATTGCTTCATGGCAATATAGACATTCATTTAAAAATAGTGAAATGAATCTTGCAAACACTGAATTAAACTCTATCCATAATATTATGTTAAATGGTGGATGTTAAATAGGTTTGTACAATAAGTCCAAACAAGTTTAACCAAAAAATATTTATTTCTCACTATTATGAAGGCTGGAGTGTTAGGGTCAGGGTCAGGGTCATTAATGTGGGCCACCAGTCACGATAACATCAGTAACAGGTCAGTTTGAAATGAAAGACACAATTCAGTTCAATTTTGGAGTTTTGTTTTTATCCTTGTGGTATCAAAAATGGTATCGAGTATTTTCCTGAGTATCGGTATTGAGTTGAAAATTTTAGTATCGTGACAACCCTATTAGAAACACGCTCTTGTTTCTATTTGTAAAGCATTGGTTTTTAAGTGCTCCTACATTTCTTTCGATTAAAACTAAAGTTTAATGTTATTTCAAATTGTTTTAAGGAAAAGAGCTTTTTATAAAAAGAGTTTTGTTTAATATTTCATGCTTGCACATATTCATTCACTGGTCATTTTTACATCCATCCATTTTTATCAGTGGCCATTCCAACTTTGTCCTGGTGAGAATCATGACCTCAGATTTGGTCATCCTGAATGCTTCACACTTCTTAGTTAGTTTGCTCTGATGCCAAAGGGGCGTCTTTGTGCTTATTTCTCCATCAGAGCGCAACCTCAACCCAAAGGCAGCGTGCTTAAAGCGGCGGGAGGAGGAGAAGGTGTCCGGGGTGGTGGGAGAAGCCCCCATGCAGCTCTCAGGAGGCCACCCGAGCATGGGGGGGGACGGCCACAATCCGGTTGGCCACATGTAACACCAGGTAGGTTTCCCATCAGGCCTCCCCTCGATGTTAACCCTTTAAAGCTTGATCCAAGAAAAATAGGAAGAGTGTTGGATTTTTTTTAGTCTGAAGTCTTTCTTTGGCCCCTCAACAACATATGAAGAAAAAAAACTGATTTTTTTAAAATCAAATTAGCGTGCAATAAGTCAAAAATCTATTTTGGTGTAGTCTTCTACTGGCTGTTATCAGGTATATCTGAATGTGTACAACAGGGGTTTGAGCAAAGCTTTTACCACTGAATGATGCAAAAAGTCTCAGATCCAAAAGACTTCAGAAACCGTATGAATCAGATATGACACATTTGGCATTATAAGGTTAAATGGCCACTGCCTAATGTCTGTGCTCCTCTCCCTCCACAGACCTGGTGGTGTTTCCCTGGCTGTCAGAGGATGTGGCCTTAACAGATTTCTTCCACCCATTATTCTCAGTGTGTGTGTGTGTGTGTGTGTGTGTGTGTATGTGGACATGTCTGTGTATTGTCCATTCAAGTTTCAAGATGCACATTCACACACTTGTACACACATGCATACTGCCAAAACTGACACAGCCTGTTTGTCGCACTCCCAACCATGACTACAAGCGCAAATGTGAAGAACTTTTTTTTTTTTTAATTTAGTTTTGCTTTGTTTTATACATGTAATATTTCTATTTTCATTTTGGTTTCCACATGATGATTGAACGCCAGAGTACTTTTTGTCCTGCCACACTTTGGGACTACACACACTGCCAAGAGGTGCTCTGGTGAAGGAAAAAGAGAAAAAGGAGACCTAAACAAACACAAATTGAATCGAGGATTTGTGCCTAATTGTTACATGTTTTCTATTTGACATTTAAGCAAATTGCTTTACATTTGAGGAACATTTGTGAGGGATTGCTTATGTGTATGAGCAATTATTTTTAATGTATGTCATTCCCAGCGTGATGGTACAGTCTTACATATGTTATGTAACCAAGCCCATAGTTGAAGTTGAATTGTCAAATTCCGGTGACTTTTCCCCGTGCGTGTGGACGGAAAGGTCAGTCGTGGTTTTGACAGTTAAAACGCAGCTTACCTGAGAAATGGGGACTCTGATCTAGAGCCAGTCTCTGACTCAGGCCCGGTCTCATCCCACACGGCATCTGGAGACTTGGAATCAAAGACTTCTTCCTTGAAACTTATGAATTATCCAAGTTGTAGAATTTGTCAACACAAAAAAAAAAACTGTTCTTCCTCTGTTGACTAAGAATTCTAGTGTTACTCCAGGAGCCCTTGTTATACATCCAGGTTTTTGTACTACTTTATGTACTAAAGCATACTTGGACAAGACAAAGCACAGTTGTATAGATTAAGGCTGGAGCATAAGTGTTGACCTGTATCGCATTTGAGTCCCTGAGAGTCTTGTATAAAAAGCCATTTGAATCACGTGTGGTCGGCACCACATAGTGCCGATACCTTTTTCTTTTTTAAATGGTTTACTGACAGTGCCAGCAGACTTAGCAGCTTAAGTCTTTCCCCTTTATTGATGCTCTGTGAAAGACAAAAATCTGGGTTCCTCTAAAGGACGGGATCTCATCGGCCGCCGTTGTTAAAGCAGACAAGCCTTTGTGTTATTGAGGCTTTCTTTTCCTAAATGAGCATTCCCACTGAATTACAGCCCCTCACCTTCCTCCTGAGCAAGTGTGCTTTTCACCTTTCTTACAGAGAGAAGTGTGACGTGTAAATTCACTTCATACATTATTCTGTTTCATTTTTCAAAATTAAATATATATAAAAATATATATTTTTTGTTAGTCTATACATTGTAGATTTTTTTTTTACATAAATGGCAATATTAGTTTGAAGTTTAGAGTGTATTGTAGATGAGCTGTATAAGGGGATATTTGACATTTAAATGACGTTCAAAACTTAATTAAAATAAAACTGGGATGACAAAAAGGATCAGCAGATGATAAATAAGTGTTTGTTATATCCTTTTATTCCAGTTGGAAGACACACCATCAAACGCCCAGATGAACCCTAACTCTCCATTTGGGACAGTTTGTGTTCCTGTTGAAGTGGTGTCGCCTCACAAAAGCTGTGGGAAGGGATTTTGTCTCAAACAGTAGTTATTATGCAACTGGTTTTTGAATGTAGCTACCATACAAAATGTGGATCGCCTTCATATTCAAAGTTGTGTTCCTGGGTTTTGTCAGCACAGTGTAGTAAGTTTCGTTTCACATTTTTCTTTCGTCTGCCCTCAACCAACCGGGTCTCGGTGCACAGATCACCATCAGGTTTGGTGCACGCTTGTGTTGGAGGCAGACGCCTGTATTTGGGATTAAGGTAATGGATAATACAGAGAACAAAACAGTGTTATTGTGATGTTATTCCCAAGTCATGTTGTGAATGGTTTCTTTTTACCAACATGTAATCACAAATGGGAGGTAGAGTATTTTGTGTGTTTAATTTCTACAAAAAAAAAAAAAAGATGAAGAAAAAGACCTATACAAATCAATAGTGTGGCCTTTTCATTCTCAAGACTTAAGATGTCATGATGGGAGAGTGATGCCTTATCAGTGCCTGAACTTGTATTTTTCATTTAAAACAGTTTTATTTTGTGAACCATATCATTTCATTTATCATGGAGATTAAAGAGGTACTTGTTCATTCCCCCACCCTTCCTTCTCCTAATGCTTTTTCAATTTTGAGGAAGAAGTTTAAATGGTATAAAGAGATTTTCTTTCAGTGTATCTAGTTAAATAAATAAATGTTACGTAGATCTTGTTTAGTTCTTTCCTTTTTTTTCCTCCTCCTAATTATTCAACTGGTTTTCCATTGTCCAAACTGCTGTTTTAATCACTTCATGTCACTGCCTTCAAGCGAGGCCGTTTTTTTTCTATTGTCGGCCCTTTGATTCGCAGGAACGTTTTTTCTGTTTGTGTTGCTTTGCTTTCAGAGTAGGGAGTGAAATTTATTTCCAACAAATTTGTGTATATATCAGATCACAAGCCCTTTTCTGCAGTGCTTTTTCAGTATATTCAGTCATTAGTTACCGCTGTTGGGCCTGACCTTTGGGTAGCACTGACAGTGACTATTTGCGTGAAGTTCTAATCACTTCTTTCTCAGAGTTGTATATTAAATCGGGTCTACTGTCGCAAAACAGTGGGCGTAGTAAATACTGTTGGCTTATTTTTAATGGGGAATCTGATAAAACATCACGTAGTATTCTATCAACATCCCATTGGTCTTCAAATGACAAATTGGTGTCCACAGATTTCATTTCTTGATTTAAATGCTGACAGTTTAATCTGAAGGACTTTTACTTCAGTAATAGAAAGCAGTAATGTTTTTTGTTTTGTTTTGTTTTAACAGTTTTGTCATCTTTGCGGAGCTTAAAAGGTGTGAGACCACTGGGTGTTAAATAAATTTACACTTACATAATTTGTCATCTTGGGGTGAGGAGATATATTAAAAGAGAGAGAGAACTTCCCTGTATATAACAGTAATGTAGCAATAAATGTGCCATTTTAATAACAGATTATACGTTTTCCAATGTCTGGCTTTTGAAAATTGTATACATAAAAGCAAAAATAAAATAAACCGTTGTAATAAAGGGTTTATTGTACTGCGGGAAATTAATTTCTTCTAACCTGAACAGTTGTCGATTTGGGGATACGTACGTGCGTTTAGTAAAGCTACTGAAGAGTAGATTGACCAGATATTTAACGTTTTTGTACCAAGAGGTAATACATTAAAAGACAAATGCTTCAATACTGAAGTCGGCTTCGTTGGGAGATATTTACCTGTCCATTGGTGGCCTGAGATAATCCTGAGAAGGCCGAAAGATCTCTACATCCGTTATTTTAAACAGGCATTAAAAGGGCCAACCCCGGTAAGGGTCCTTCACAGTAAGAGCACGGGAGCGTCTCACGTAGAGAGGAGCTGCGAGAAGGTCAGAATGGTCCAGAAAATAATCAACAAAATCGTTGGTGCTAAGTATGTCACCATCCTGAGGACGTGGTAAGTTGGAAGGGTAACGGACTGGGGTTTTGGGAGGATTTTGAGAGTTTTTGTCCCGTTTGCTGTCCTGTCAACGCCCGGCGTCCTTCCCTGTGACCCGCTTTGCTTACATGCTAACGTTAGCTTAGCCCGTTTTCGCTGGACTAACGGCTGTCCATCCCCTTTTACTAATTATCGTCTCATTTAGTGGTAAAGAAGCCGACTTTTAGGACGAATCTGATATATTGAGCTTTCCAGACATTTAGGCGTCATCTAGTGTTATTTTTTTTGCCTTTTGAATCGTTGGAAAGCCGAATGACCTGACAATTAGGAGTTCAAATGAAACTTTCTTTTAATACTCCAACTTGTTCATTACCGTTTGAAAAACGATCTCCATAATTTAGAGTTTACATAACTTCAATTAATTAAATACATGGAGGAATCAAGATTTTTAACGATTCAGTTGGTGGGTGGGGAGCCATCCCACATCTTTTAATATATCAACAAAAATCTGATTATTTTATTTTTTACTGGGAACACTACATTCATACATCAGTAAATATTCCAGTAAATCATTCCACCAATTTTGAGCTGCTGTGAAAAAGGTAAAACTCCACATTTAAAATCTGCCACATCTGTTTTGGGTTTTCAGAGTAATTATTGAATTTCATGCAAGTCTTTAAGACGAAAAACTGTCCACATGACAAATAATTTATCCCAGATTGCCTCAGCAGACCCTGGCTGCTGGAACACTTATAATCTTTTTAAAATCCAAGGTTTTAGTGTGTTTTTGTTTTATTTTAACATCTCTGGCGCCCCCTACCGGCAGGAGGGACGCCTCCTAAACCACAATGTGTGTTTTAGACTTATCAGTTTATTCTGTTTATTAAGATATAATTAACCATAAAAACGTCCTTTCTCTGGATACTTTATTTGCAGACATAAGCTAAATGCGAGATAAAAACAAACATTGGCATGAAATATAGTTCAGTAGTAGGAAATGTTCAATAAATCCAGCCTCTGTAAATTACATGGCATCATTAGTATGTTTGTTTTTTACTGACAGGTCCTTTTCCACATATTTTCCAGTTATTATTAACGAATAGACCAAATTTAAGATCATATTTCTTCTGAGAGAAAGCTTCTGCCGGTTTGTAGTGTCTGAAGCATCTGTGTGGCTATGGTTCTCTCACTGTGGGACCCCCCCCCCCCTTGTCTCCCCTCCAGGGTCCCAAACATGGTTGCATGGGGGACCGTTGGCGGCGTGGCGCTCATTCACTTCACAGACTGGCGACTAATCCTAGACTATGTCCCGTACGTTCGAGGGAAGTTCAAGAATGATGAGTGAAGGAAGCTTAAAAATGTGAGTCTCTGCACCACAGTGTGTAGCCTGCATGCCCCCCCCCCCCCCTCTGCTTCTTAACCACTGCTTTCTGGTGCTTTTGTGTTGCTTTTATGGATAATTTTATTTTGTTTTTAATCATGAAA